CTCCAATAAATAACTCTACTTCAGTAAATATGTATATAATTCATTACAAGAAATTAAGACCTTATCAAGACAACATTATTTTCAGCTTAGTTGGACCTTACTGAGAGTAATGAGATCTTATCTATATTCAGCTTTTGCAGTGTTTAGATAGGATTGCCATAAGCATATTGATATAGTTCCAAGCAGCTCACTTGAACTTATTTCTTTATGCCATTTTCCAGAAAGAAAAAAAATACCATCAAGAACACTTAATCACATGCAATGACAAAAAATGCTAAAAAGTGATGCAGTACCTTCTGGAAACCACCTAAATAATTATATGCAATGTGTACTTAATCACATGCAATGTGTACTTAATCACATGCAAGAAATTAATCGCAGTGATGAATGTTTTTCCAAGCCCAGTAGGTAATGCCACTAAGGTATTGGAATATAGTGCAGTCCTCGTGATTTCGAATTGATAATCCCGACGGGGAAGATTTGCTGCAATAAAATGAATTATGAATGAAATTTTATTCTATAAGCACATAAGAAATAGTACAGTTATTGGTTATAAAAAAAGAAATAGTACAGTTATTCAAGAAATGAGTAACATCAAATTCATAAGTGATGCATATCCCAAACCAAATTAATTAAAAGCAAACACTTAGTGTGACATTACTCTTGTTCTCTAATGGTGCAATCCAAATGTTGTGGTCGATAGAAGGATGAAACAAAGTGAGCAGAAATGTACATCAGTCCGAAGGGGGTCACATGTATATCATCGTATAAGTACTTATACAACATCCATGTGGATATGGGACTGAGCAGACCGTGGAGGGCAGACAGTGGCCATCTTGAGGTTTTTGTTGTAACTCAAGATTATGAGGCACAATTCGACAGCATAATTAAAGAACAGAAAACGGACTAAGAAAAAGAGCAAAGAACCTGGATAAATCCAAGTTTTGGCTGCCTTCAAATCAAGTGGAACGAAGCAAACCCTGTCATCCACCTCATTACCAAACTCCTCTTTTCTGACTCCAACGCCGTTTGGATTGTGGGGTTCGGTTTCTGCCTTCTTAGCCTTCGGCGGAAATCCCATAAACATATCAAGAGTCGACTGCTTCCCAGACGCAAGGCCACCACCATTAGGGGTTTTGAGCGTTTTCCTATTTGGGATGGAAGTCGAAGTCGATGTCGCAACTCCATCAGAAGACGAAGCGATTGTCCCATTGACGGGAAGGGCGACGCCATTGGCCTCACAAGCCACATCGATCTCTCTCACAGCTGCGTCCCAGTCAAATTCATGAATAATGAAAAAGTAAGATTTAGAGATAGAAATTGAAGTGTTTGGAGAAGAAAGAATCAGGGTTTCAAGAAACAGTTTACATCGTCGTCGTCGATAATCTCAAGAGCGGCGGCGGACGATGAGGCCATGGCGAACGGGAAATCTTGGGGAAAATATATTCGGAATCTTGGTCGTCTTCTCCAAGAAGGGGAGCCATTCCACGCAAGGCGTTAAAAATTTGATTTTGGTATGACAAGCAAAAATAATTTGAGTTTTGAAAGTTGAAACAAGTATTTTGAGAAAATTTAAAATTATGATTTAATTATGGGGTGAGTGGTTATAGTTCTAGTCGGTGGCAGTGTAGGGATACTCTATAGATTAGAGAGATCAAATCTCTACGTAAATATCTCCCAAATTCAGAAAATATATATCTAATTCTTTATTTTGAAAATTTGTGATATCTGATAATATCAAATTTAAATTATTTTTATATCACACCAAACCCAAAAAAGAAACTTCATATCAAGAGATATGAAAACTTATATCTTCTATAGCTCTATGCCCACTAAACGGGCTCTCAGAGCTTGTAACCTTCAACTTAATCTCATTACTTATTTGTATTAGAATCAGATCATATCAATTTAGAAAAATGTTTGAGTATAACTATAATCAGATTATACCAGACCAAATCAGATTAAATATATCTTTAAATATAACTACAATCAGATCAAACCTTATTCCAATCATATCATGTAAAGAGAACAAGTCCTAATTTTGAATCGTTTAAATAAAAGGTGGTTAAAATAATTAGTGAGTTTTCATATTTAGTCCTCAATTTTAAGATATTAGTCTTTCGTTTTTATAAATTGTTCCGTGATTAGTCTTTTAGGTCACGCGGTAAAGTTTTGGTACGGTTCCCGTTCTAGAACCGCTGGTTCTATTACCGCCACCATATGTGACCGTTATCGGTGCCGGATGTCCCAATTCCAGAACCAGTAGTTCCAGTACCAGTTCTGGGCTGGTTCGGTTGTTCAATTTTTTATATGATTGAGTCAATTGAGATGTATAACAAATTTACAAGTTTTCATAAATTCTTACTTTTAATAACGTAGTTGTTAGGCCACTCAAAATGAGTGGCCATTGAATCGCGTAGAATGCTTTCAAATGAAAAGTTATTTTGGGGTATACCAAAATACTTTAACCGGATAAGACATTAATCAAGAACAAGCACATCGAAAATCAATCCTCAACCATATCCGCGTATCTATATTTATAGAAACGAAAAACCATGAGCAATAATGTGAAGAGGTTCTTGCGGTTTTTCATAAAACAATAATGTCGAAAATAAATCTCGTCCATGGGCCTTGCCCATTGGACCCTACCATGGTTGTTAAGTCGACATGTCGTGTCAAGTCAGCGACGAGGAGACTAGTGGACTAGTCGACTAGTCGTAGACTAGTCGACAAATCACAATTAGTATTGAAATTTTTAACATTATATATATCTTTTTTCACCCAAAATAACTATATATATCTAAGATAGCACATAAAGTCACACAACGAAGAGTACATAAGAAAAAATATCTTTTAGTCTTCAAAAATAACACACCAACAAAGATAATTAGCACAAAAAAGTCAAAGGACATATTAAAATGTTTAATTCCAAGTTTTGAGTTATTAAATATCATCATCCAACATTATGATAGAGAGCCTGTGAAGATGTCGATGGAAGTGATGGAAGATGTCGATGATGAGGAGAGTCGCGACCTGGGAAGGGTTGAGTCTAGATTGTCGATTCACTGGATTGCGTCGAGGGAGGCTATCTTTTATCTTAAATTTTAAAAATTAATGAAATTTGGGTTGGGTCGGGTCAAATTGGGTTAGGTCAAATTGGGTAATTTTCTTCACCAACTAGGCGTCTTCTAGGCGCTCCTAAGCGTCGCTTTACTCGCCCTATCATCTAGTCTGCCCTAGTCGCTAGTCGAAGAGCAAGTCGTCAATCCAAAAACGCCTGGACGACTAGTCGACGACTACGACTTGACAACCCTGGAGGCGCTGCCGCCTCCGAACTCTCATTATGAATTTGTAATATTGTTAAACGAGCGTATATTCCACAACTCCTAACTCGTTTGACAACGTCTATACAAATTTTTGTTTGATCTAAGCAAACCCAATTACATAAAATAGTTTAGGACAATAAAACCACCAACATAAATATGTCAAATTTTTAAACTGACCTTGCCAAAGGCCTTGTGATCTAGCGGCATAAATGTGCCTATTCTAAATGGAAGGTCACATGTTCGAATCCCAATGTGGGGACATTGATTCTTTGTGCTTCATGAAGTTGAGAAAGTATGTATACACATATTACATTGTAATATAGTAATAGTAGTAAAAAAATCAAACCTTGTTTGGGAGGAGCATTTTTAGTTCGCATTTTGGACTTTTTTAATGGTACACATTGATTTTGAGAACACTAAATGTTGTTGTTAGATAACTATTTCAAAATGATAAAGCTAAAGGTTGAAGTGTTGCCAAACGGGCACAATGGATATGAACCTTAAAAGGAAGTCAATATCTTATATGGCGAGTGATATAGTAAGTTTTTAATACTTCGACTCAAACTATCATGTACAAAATCTAAATGGAAGTTAATTAATACCGGTGATGGTTAAGCTGGTAACCGCATTAGTTTGAAGATATGAATGGAGGTTTGTGTTAAAGAATGCGCTAAAACGCGTCTTTACCAACTTGTAATCCCCTTCCTTGACAACAAGCCCTTCCACGAGTTCAGCACTCACACTCCCCTTAGTAGTTAGTTTTGGCTTCCCAGGGGAGTATAAGTATTTTCGAAACAACTCCACATCTCTTCCAGATGGGTCATGCTCACGCACAACCTGCTTGGTAAAGGTAGATTTGGTTGAAAAAAGAGAAGGATTGTGATATTTCTATAACAAACTTGTACATCAGCACCCACAAAAAAAACATTATTTTCACAAACATCCCTTTTGCGTCTTCATCTTGTGTGCGTGCATGCACTACTAGACATCATATATCTATGTCAATGGGAACAAAAACCTTGTATGTGGCCATGTGAGTGTTAGTGTACAAGTTTGTCGCACAAAATTGCTGTTTGAAAACTGAATGAGCTGACCTTATTTTTTTTTGGCACCAAATTATATTAAAGTGCACTTAAAATATACGGTGTGATGCTAATTTTTTAATAAATTAGAGGGCATAGGTAGAAGTGTCACTTTTATTTGTGTTATTCAATTATTAACTTAGTGATTGGCAAAATACTACTCCCTCCGTTTCAGAGTATTTGTCCATTTTTTACTTTTTCAATTTTGACCTCAAATTAAATAATAATGACATTAGATATTGATACAAAATAGTTTTATTAGATTTATTATGTCAAATATTTTCAAAATATTATTTTATCTAGTTAATATACAATATATTTTATTTAATTATAGGTCAAAGATTGAAAATAGTTGACCAAAAAAGTCAAAACTGGACAAATAGTATGAGACAAAGAGAGTAGCTAAGATGTCAAATAGAATAAGTGAAGCCTTAAATTTGAGGTTATTAAATAGACTGTACCAAATGAAGCACACATCTAAAAACAAAACCCATAAATTTGTAAACAAGATTTTTGGAACAGAAAAGCTCTCTCAAATAATACATCACCAAACACTTGCAATTGTTGTTCTTTTGCAAAAACACCCTATTGTCAACATTGTAAAACCTAATCAAATCGCATCTCAAATCACCATGGGTATTTAGTCAACAGATTCACATATTACAATTTCTCATGAAAAACTTTCATGAATAAAAATGCAAATTCGGCAGCAATTAAGGAAAAGCAAGAGAAAATAATAATAGGCATGCCACGACTTCTTGCAACTTCAACGGCCTTATTCACGCTGGGGACGATGGCTTCGCCGCCTCTGACGCACAAAGGGCCACCTGGTAGTATGAAATCATTTGTAGAAAAAGTAAATAAATGGAAATCACAAGGGGTCAAGGGAAATAAAACAAAAAAGGAAAGGAATGATGACGACTTAAAGAGGCAGATACCTGCATGTCTATAACAAGAAGGGCGGTGCTTCTTCATTTCCGGTGTTAGAGATAGGGGTGTTTATTGGTCCAGGACCAGACCGAATCAGACCAAATCAGACCGAAGACCAAAATGGGAAAAAATTAGGACCGAAGATCGGACCTATAATTGTTCGTTTTTAGACTGGACCGACCGAAAACCCTTGGACCAGACCGGTATGGACCGAAAAGACCAAACTGTATTACCTTTTAGAATTGAATTTTAAATGTTTTACAAGTAAAACACTACAAAATGCAATTGTATTAAACTAAAAACACCTTCATCAAGAAACACTACAAAATGCAATTATACCCAAAAAATACAGTTCATCACAAATCATCATGGAGAATTAGGGATGCAGCAATTGTATTAAGCTGAAAAAACTTCATCAGGGATGCAATAAAATTGAAATAAAAATACAATGGCCATAGTGGTCAGTGGATGCAAATATATACAAGCAGGAGCATGAGCAGGAGCAGTTTATTCCATTGATAATTCTGTATATACAAAATCTATATGTATATTTGATTAATAAATTGAAGGATGAGTTCAAACAAATATATAGAAGCTAGAGACTTTTGGATAGCCACGCACCAACTAAAAGTTCATATTCTAGTGCTACTATTTGCATAGAGATAAGTACAAACAATGTACTTTTAAAGACTATTGAATAATAGACACTGATTTAGTTGAAGAAACCTTTAGAATATACTGATTTAGCAGAAGAAACCTTTAGCAAAAAAATCAGGTGGTTTTTTTAAAAAGTATAAGAGCGTACTACGGAACTTGATTGCCGCCGATTCTCGTGACGGTCTGAAAAGCAGCCGGAATAGGATAGGGTGGAGAAGATCGAGAAAGGAGCGATTCAACAGGGCAGAAAAAAACGGAGAAGAAGGAGATTGCGATTCAATAACCTATTTTGTCGATTCAGTTTGAAGAGGAGGGCAAAGGACTGAGGAAGTGAAAGTGAGAACGGAGACCAGAGGCGAAGAACAATGGGATAGGCGATATTGTAGTTTTCTCTTAGTCCGATTGTGGTGGTTAGTCTAAGTGGTCCGATGATTCCACCGTCTACTTCCACCACAAATTAAAGCCGACGACGGTTGGTGGAGCATCTTTAAGATGGATCTACTAGAAGCTTTTAAATGTTCTAATTCTTCACATTATGCTACCCATGGTTTTTCCCACGTAGTAATGTACTTCCCAGAAGATTTTGGTTGTTCTGATTTCAACCTTTTTACCATTATTATAATCATCCCATTTTACAATTTTACTAGAAATTATAGGATTAGTAAACTTTGAAAAGTGTGACAACGAAATTGGTAGTGTGATGACAGCTGGGTGACAACGTTGCGACGAGGGTGGCAGTGGGTGGTGGAGTAGGTAGCGTGGTGACAGTGTGGCAATAGAGATGGCAGTAGAGGTGACAGTGTGGCGGCGGAGGGCTGCAACAGTGTTAGAATACGACAGTATGACAAGGTCAGTATTAAAAAAGAGTAAATTTGTGTTAGGACCGTGCATGCCCTTACTTTAACCCCGGATTAGTATAATATTATCCGCTCTAGACCAAGCACTCACGGATTTGTTTTTGCGTAGTTCCCAAAAGACCTCATGCTAATGGGGTTGGATCAACCTATATATTTTGGTTCATTTACTTTTAAACTTCCGGTGTGAGACTTGGAAGAATCCCAACAAACCTCCCTCAACCAAGGACCAAACAACTTCCAACTCGCCTCCAGCGGTAATACATTTTTTTCTTATCTGCTAACCATCTTGCACCGCCGCTACACTCTTTGTGGGACACACTGCTTGACCTTTTGTCTGGAAGACTTTCGATGCAAGGCTCGAACCGCAGATCTATTCAACTCATTTTGTTTGTTCGTTGAACGTGTTGGGCTACACCATTTGGTCCGCAAAATCATCTTGTACCTCCGTGGCTATAACTTAACGGGACACAGCGCCCGACCTTCTCTCATCAGGAAGACTTTCGACATAAGGCACCAGCTGCGGATCTTCTTTCTTGGTCTTAATCCTGTTGTTACACCGTCACACTGAGATTTTTTCACACTGCACAGTCCGCCCTACTCACACCCATAAGAACCTGGGCTCCGATATCACAGGCCACTTTTCTGTTGCAACTGCTGCAACCTATGTAGAATGTAATGTCTTCAGTTTCTAAGACCTGCAACTGCCCTTCAACCCAGTGGATGTCCACCTGTGTTATCATGTAGTGTATTTGTATATGTACAAATGAAAGAGTTAGATGCTATATTTCATATCGATGTAAATCGCATGCCAATATAAAAGAAACTTATATAAGACGTAGCCAGTTGTAGCACCGACCTCATTTTCTGCACGTACAACTTCAGAGATTGGTGTAGTTTGAATATCTTCAGGCTTTGCAAACATAGATAAGGGGTCCAACCATTTTTTGGTTTCAATGGCGTGCTCTATGGCAGCTGTATTTGAAGACTTCCTGCAAGAGACTTAATTAATAAATACAATATTTGTTCAAAAGGAATGAATGATTGAAAGAAGAAAGGATGCTTTACCATTCATCTAAACTTGATGTAGGTGATATGCCTGGGTTCAGCTCTATTGACGAATCGTATCGTGTTGTTAATGATAGCCCTGGTATTATGATTGTGTTTAAGTTCATGTGTAAACGTGTATAGTCTTTGAGTATGGGGTATATTGTGTTATGTTATTAATGCTATGCATTTACCTTTGAAAGATGTTGATGCTATCCTCCTTGCAAATATTGTGGGATAAATTCCTGATTGCAGTGCGTTCTCAATTTCGGACCTTTGGACTGATGCAAAAGTGTCCCACATTGTCAAAGTGATAGGTTTGCATCTACAAGATTGAATATTGAAGTTAGAAAACATTAATATATAGGGAATCATCAAGAGAACAAGAAAACAGTACACACATCTAGTAGGTATAATCATGTAGGCAGACACACACACATTCTACCATTTGAGCTTGTAGTAATACCTGTGGTTGGATCAATGGATTCATACGGGCTAAACCGTATGCCATTTTTTAGGCAAATAGGTCTATCAAAGCTTAGCCTTTAGAGCGAGGATTGGGCGGTCTATCAAAGCTTAGCCCTTAGAGCGAGGATTGGGCGAATAGCCCTTCAGCCCTTGGAATATACTACATCCTAGAGTGGCACTTTAAACCTCTCGTTGATCACTCTCACCATACCCGAAGGTGTCTTAGGGGAGAAATCAAGTTTAGAATTGACCTTTTGGTCAGATTCTCCACAAAAGCCTGCTAAAATTTCTAGAATGAGTAGTGCCTCACTCCATGAAGCCTAATTTTCGCCAAATAAAATCAAGTCATCTGCCAAAAATAAATGCAACGATTTCGGGCTTCTTCTAAACACGGTAACCTTTTCGGTCTTATTACTCTCAAAATCTGGAGTGCGAAAAATCTTAAGTTGGTGTTGATTTATGGCAATGCCATGAATCAGTACTTCCAAAGCATGGTCTAATTAGGAAAGAAATGGCAATGCCACAACAACAGAAATCAGTTTGGATGGATTACCAATTCCTTGGGGCAAAACATCTCTCTCCACCCATGTGATTAATTAAACCAGTAAGCTGGTCCATTTAAAGCCTGTCCTACCTTACAAGTCTTCTCAAGTCATAAAAATGTTCTTTTAGAAAAGTTCAGGCACCTCCACCTCTGTTGGTTTACCTCAAGGCTTAGGGTCTGTTTGGAAGTTGTGTCGGTGCCCCCACCTTTGTTTGTTTACCCCAATCCTTAGGGTCTGTTGGTTTCTTTAACTTATTTTTGCATATATTTTGGTCTCAAAATTATATTCCCAAATTGTATGATTCATCCTTGAATCTATACAGGAGTATTTGTTTAAATTTTTGGTTTTAAATCTGAAGTTGGTGTTGATCATGTTAAAGAAGATTTTCCAGTTATGGTCAATGGCCTTCATTTTGCAGTTTTGGTACACCACAATTGATTCCTTGCGACTCTCGGTCCTCTTGGTCTCTTATCTGTCCATTTTCAGTTTGGTTATTTCTAGACAAGTGGCTGAAAATAACACGTAATGATAAGAAAATGTTACACCAGAAAACTGCACACATTTCAGATATATGCCTAAATCGACCACAGTACATCGATGCATTTAGAAACTTAGGATGTTAAAGGTCTTTCCGAGGACCTAGGTTAAAGGCCTATACTTTAGAGTAAAATTCAGTTGATATATTTGGAGAGATATCAGTTCATCTTTAAGTTAAGGCAAAGAATCTTTTAAAACTGACCTAATGAATATTAAAAATAGGATGAAATTACAAAATCTAGTTAAACGGATGGCGATAGTAGTGATCACTTTCTATTGCATAAGGAGAGCATACCATATTTTTACAAGAGGCGATAGTCTGTTGCATATAAGTTAAAAAGTTTCCTAGCTTAGTGACATAGAGAACCATACCGAATATTTTAACGGGAAAACAGAAGTGCACACTTCCATTTGTTAAGCCAGTAGGTCAAATAAGCAAGAAATAGATGAGCTATTTCTATCTTTATACCAGTAACAAGAGTAAGGGGAACACAACCTAGGGAAATGAATGCAATTTATATGTCTACTAAGAATCTGAATTCATCAAAAGAACAAAACTGCACATTTCTATATGTCAACCCAGTAGATCAAATAAGCAAGAAATAGATGGGCAACTTTTATCTTTACAATAAGAAGAGTAAGCAAATCCATTTAAGTTGCATTGTAGTTCAAATGTTACAACTATTAATTAAGTATAAACAGAGGAATAAAATAAACTAAATAAATGGGGGCATGAAGTAAACAGTCTAAAAATGAAAGAAAAAAATAAGGGAAGATGAAACAAGTATGAGGGGTCTACTAACACTACGTTTAGTTCAAGAAAATTGGAAGACAATAAAAAAAGTGATTTTTTCCCATTTTTCTCACAAAATTGAAGGAGTTTTGACAAGAAAAAATGGTTGCCTTTTTCATTTTCTTTTCGTTTTCCCATTCAAATTGATTGAACCAAACATAGTGTAAACGATTTGCTTGAGAATTAACTTAAAAAAATTGAGAATCATATGCCTATACAAATACACAACTTAGAAAAGTCAAAGGAATTTATAATCATCAAAAGCGCAGTAGTGTGGATTTCTATTTCTCAAATTTAGAAAAATCAAAGGAATTTATATAGGCCAAAAATCTAAAGTCATCAAAAGTACAGAAGTGCAGACATATACTGCTGAATTTTAGTTGGACTTGATGATGATCAGGAACATCAGTATTAGTATTTTTCATAAAACCTTGTGTAGTTTTGTATATTTGCTTTAACAATCTTTACATCTCTTTGTACTTTGTATCATAGGGATTCCGAGGTTGCAAAGATTAATGATGAAATGAATCGAAAAGTTGCAGAAATCCAGCAATTGCACATAAACCTTCAGACCAGAGACAATAAGGGAACAAATAAAGTAGGTCAAAAAAGCAAGAAATAGATGGGCAATTTCTATCTTCATACCAGGAACAAGAGTAAGGGAATCCATTAAACTTATTTAGCAAAATAAATGAGGGCATGCACTAAACACACTAAAAATGAAACAACAAAATAAATTGGGAGAAAACAAAAGAACTACAAAAAAATAAATGTCATCTAGCCATCACTAAAAAAGGATAAACGTGCTTAAAGAAGGAGAAGAAAAAGTTGATATCTAAAAAAAAGGGTCTGATCATAGCAAATTTAGTTCTTGACTGCCAACTTCTGAAAGGGTCTTATCCAAAAAAAATTGAATGATCCCAAAATTTTTGAACACAGATAGTGTTGATATGCTCGGTAACTGAAGTGCCTTCTTTCATCCTTGTGTTCACCAGCTCTCTGATCAGAAAAACTTTGTTAGCTGAAGATGGCTTTTGTACATGTTAAACAGCGCATCCATAATTCCTTTCGCTGTCTTCTCCTTCAGAATGTTGAACGCAACATTTTTGGTCAATGAGAGACGGATCACGGACATAGCTTTCCGATCCAAACTTGCCCAATCTGCATCCGACATCTTTTCTGGCTTGTCACCTAAAACCACGTCTAAATCTTTCTGAACGAGCAAATCTTCAATTTGCATCTTCCACCAACTGAAATCTGTACCATCGAACTTCTCAATTCGGAACTTCCCATCTTCTGCCATTTCAAACGACTAGACGAGATACCCGGTACAACTAATTTCAGATCTTGGTAATTTCGTCAGAAAATTAAGCCCACCACACTAATTAAATTTAGTCCAAACCAAACCAGCCCAATGTCCACCCTTAAGAAAAATTACGGCCCAAACCAATGGAGAAACCCACTACCTCTCTCTTTTCCTCTTCGCAAGAAACCGCAGCAGGGAAAAACTGGGCAACAGCAGCGGCAAAATGGACGGCGGCTCGGCGATGGTGAGTCTCGCTGGACGACGGCGATGGACGAAGACGACAGCGGCGCGGTTCAGATCTCCACTCTAGCGGCGAATCTCTCCCGCTCCTGCCGCGTTCAGTTTTCCAGCGGCGACGATCTGATTTGACGGTGTCGGCGCGATCTGAAACAGCGCGGCTTCTCGGCGGCTCCTCAACGTGGCGGCGGCGGATCTGGACGGCGGATGGCGATCTCGACGGACGGTTCCCGACAACGGCGGCGGCTCCTTCTGCCGCTGCTCCTGCGTGCGGCGGTTCGTGCGCAAACGACGGCTGAGATTCCCGGCGAATCTGTGCGCGGGTCACTCAGCGGGTGCTCCTCAATTGAACGGCCACACACCCGGACGATCTGGATCCCACACGGTTCTTCACACAAGAACCCTAGGTGACAAATCTTCTAGCAATTTGTGTTCGTGTTGAACAATCTGGCTTTAATATCACTTGTTGGGAATTAAACACACAACACACACAAATATCTGCGAGAATCAAGAGAGAAACGGAACACAAACGACACACAAGAATATAACGTGGTTCGATTTCCCTAATCCACAGCTACAACAAGAGGGTTTTCTTATTTTACTTGTGGTGCCAAGATTACAAAATACAAGCCCTCTATATATAGGGAAAAGCTAGGGTTACGCACAACTGGGCCGGGCCGACAAACAAGCCTCCACAAAGCCCAACAGAAAGTTGTGAATTTGAAGTCATAAAAATTGAATAAGTGTATTAAAAATTGGGTAATTTCCAAATGGAGTGAATTATAAAACCTTTGAACTTTTGGAAGAGGATGAATTGAATTTGAAGAATCTGAAATTAGAAGTAAAGAATCGAAGATTGCGCAGGTTATGAAGATTACGAAGGAGGGAAGTACCTGGAAATTGAAGAGGAAAATAGTGCTGGATGACCAAAGTGAAGGAGAAAAATGATTTAGAACCTGACGTGGGAAGAAACTAATGTCGTGGGGCGGTGAGCTGCAAAAATGGCCAATAACATCCACGTACGTACTTTTTAAAAGAGAAACGGAGAAACAGACGGAAGATAGACAGAAAAGAGTCGAAGGTAACTGCCTTAGAGCCAATTATATATATTATATATTATAATTATTATTAGGGATTAGGGATTAGGGATAGGGATAGGGATATATATATATACACACACACACACACACACACACACTAGCATATTTACGCGCGTTGCGCGGATTGTAGTGCCCGATCAAGGTTTACTTAACAATAATTCTAAAAATGTTGGGAATAACATTAAGGTGTATAAGACATTTAAAGTTGATTGACATGGTTGATATATTCCAAATTAATAATAAGGTAATCTAATGAATGACATGATTTTTGCATGTATGGACTTTGATATCAGATTTCATACATATCCAATAATGCCCATGTCAGCATGATGTTAGCATTGTGTAGTTTCAAATTTTACATCTTTTTCTAATTCCAACAATGATGTAGTGTGTTTTCAGTTGTATGTTTTGTGGAAGATTAAAAGTTTTGAAATAATCATGGATGAACCATGAGCATAATGTTTGAAGACCAAAAATGGAGTTTTAAATTAGACACTACCAAGTATAACTTGATAATACAAAAAATGCAATGTTTAAAAGTATAATGAGTTTTTTAAGACAAGAATTTACACAATGAAGAACAAAATTATATGTGACATTAATTTTCTAGTCTATATTTTTTAACCCCACTACTCATTATAAGTAAATTATGTCTCTAATAATGATGTTCTAATGTTGTTCTTTTCAACAAAATTAGAATGAACATTCTAATGTTCTAATGTTTGTTATATGAAAAATGAAAATCCTTTAAAGGATTTTCATTTTTCATATAACAAATTAAAACTTCTCACGTCCCATTTTAATTTTTAAGATGATTCATCTATGGATAAATTTTCATTCCCTACGTCTCAATTCTTGACTCATACCTATAATATTTATTTAAAAAATCTCTTTTCTATGAGAAATAGATAAAAAACAATCTAGATTTATGGTAACCCAAAAAAGACTAATTAAAATGAAGTTAAATTGCAACACTTTTTGTTTAATGAAATTATTTCATTCTTTATAGAACACTTCTGCCTAAATATTATCTCCATACGTCTCAATTTGATGAGTAAACTCATTCTTTTAGGAAAAAACTCTCTACGTCCCAAGTTTTTAGTTGTAAATATTATTTTTTTTAAGAATTAATTATTTTTAATTATGGAAACAACCAACCGATATTTCTGGCAATCATAAAAAGACTAAATAATTTTAAAGTCAACTTAAATGAAAACACTTCTTCCTAAGTGGAAAGGTTTCATTCTTATGAAATTATTTTAAAAATTATAGTGTCAAAAAACTAAAAAATCATGAAAATTGAACACGTGGCAAATGAAAGTCACTTTGAATCATTTTAATTTATTATTTGACAATAAAGACTCACTGTGTCTCAAATTAATTTGTAAACGAATAATTATTTTGTTTAACCAATTTATTTATGAATTGATTTAAATGAGCTTATGTGAAAATATTCTCCCGAAACGATTACATTTAATTCTCATGTAATATTAAAAAACCTAAAAAAATTGAGAATTGAGCACATGGGAAATACAAGTTATTTTGAAAGATTTTCATCTTTCATATTAAAAAAATAATATTACCTACGTCCCAATTTGATTTGTAAATTTAATCTTTAATGGACAAATTTAACTCCCTTGTTCTAATTTTTGAGTGGTACCTATGATTTTATTTAAAAAAAGCTTTATGTACTGTGAGTAGTGAACAAACAACCAATAATATAATTATGGCAATCGAAAAAAGACTATATTTTTTAGAAAAAAACATAAATGAAAATACTTCTCGCTATAGAAAATCAATTCATTTTTATGAAACACTCTGGCCTAAATAAAAACTCTCTACATCCCAATTTATTGTAAACTCATTCTTCTAGGGACAATTTAAAACTCTCTACGACCTAATTTTTCGAGAATCCAAAAAACACTATTTTTTTCAAAATCAACTTAAATGAAAATACTTCTACCTAAATGAAAACATTCCATTCTTATAAAATTAGATTGTAAAACCAAAAATAATTAGAATTGAGCACATGGTAAATGAAAGTCATTTTGAATCATTTGACAAATAAGGAGTCCCCACATCCCAAAATTAATATATAAAAGTATTGATAATTTTGTTCAACCATACTGGATTTTTGGATTGAAAGATATTTCATTCAAAAATTGATGAACTAAATTATAATGACCTAAAGAATGTTGAGAAAAATAAATTGAAAAAAATAATGTCTACCAAATTCTTGAGTTGTACCTAATAAATTGAAAAAATACCTACATAATTCTTATGCCATATATATATATATATATATATATATATATATATATATATATATAT